GGGGCTTTAGCAAGAAAATAAGTTTAGAGCATTTCTCATCTACATCCATGTGCTCTTCTTCTATCACGGTTCTGAAATGCCGTTCTTATGGCTCTTGAAGTCTTTTCCTGAGCAAAAGAAGCAGAAAGCGTGCAGGATGCAGCCTTGGCTGAGTGGTGGCAGTCAGTGACCCAGGAAACGAAAAGCATGTGGTGCGCTTCCTCTCACTGCGGAGGCCAAGGCCGCAGCCAGGGACGCAAACACAGAAGCACCTCGTGTCATGGGTCTAGAGGTCGAGGCCCAAGCACAGGGGTCGGCAGGATTATTTTTTCTGACAGTGTTAGTGGAATCTATTGCATGCATGCCTCCTAGCTCCCTGGTTTGCTCACAATCATGTGCCTGGCCTGTAGAATTGCTGCGTGCATTGCCCGTGCTCTTTCTCCGTTGCCTTGTGTGCCCTGTGAGTGTGTTCAATTTTTTCCATTTTTAAATGTGTGTGTGTGTGTGTGTGTGTGTGTGTGTGTGTGGTACCAGGTATCAAACTCAGTACCTTGTACTTGCCAGGCAAGCATCTATTCCACTGAGCTATCTCCCTGGCCCTTCCACTTTTTAAAAGATAGCAGCACTGGACTATAAAACAATCCTAGTTCATCCACACCTTAAATAATTACATCTGCAATGATTGCTCTTCCAAAATAAAGTCGCCTTCTGGGATAATGAGGGCGCTCTGGACCTGGGTGTCAGCCCACAGCGTCTTCTGGGAAGGTGGGCACAGCTCAGCCATAACAGAGCTGCTCTGGCAATGTCTGTGTCTGCCGCAACGGCTTCGCCCAGTGTGGTTACTTCCCACCAGTAGCCAAATGCTCAGGCCACAAAGCAGCCAAAGAAATTAAAGAGGAAAAACAGGAAAAAATACCGACAGTAAGCCTTGTCAGTAGAAGTTCTAACAAGACCCCGACTTGTCGGCTGGGAGCTCTGGACCTTCGCCCCCAGATGCCAGGGTGTGGCCTCCCTTTTGAGGAGCGCACATGTCCCCTTCGGGAGGAAATGGCTAAGGCCTGCTCTTTTGTAAGCCCAAACAGGGACAAAGGGTCCTTTTCTCCTTATTCTTCTATTTTTTGACACAGGCTGGAATTTTTAAAGAAAGGTTCCCTGAAAGCTAGGGGAAAAAATCCAATTAATTTGAAGGTACAGATTTCTTTCTGATTCTGAGGAAAATAAATTCTGGCCCAACTGGCTTGCTAGGCCTGAGCCCTTGGCCACCCCTCTGGTGGCTTTGCTCTCGCTCTGTGACATCCCCTCCCCCCAGGCGGCAGCTAGGGCTTGTCATCGCTTCTGCCATGGGTGCACACTTCCTGTTTCGTTGCTGCTGTTGCTGTTTGTCTTGCTTTTTCTAAATCTAGATGGTGATTATTTCAGTTATTTTTTTACTGGTTTCTGGGACAAAATACCCAACACCCAAAATTAAGGAAGGGAAGGTTCATTTAGCTCACAGTTTGTGGAGGTTCCAGTCTATACTCTGCGGGCTCCCAGGCAGAGTGGCACACGGCAGAGGGCAGCCGCTCCCGGCAGCAGAAAACAGCAAAGAGCTGTAAAGCGAAGGGCAGCCCTGCGGCCTCTAGCCAGCCTCTTTCCCCTCCTTACGTTACAAATCAGCGACCCGGGGCTGGGCTGGAGAACTCACACAGCCTCCACGCCTTCCTCTTGCGCGGGATGAGGATGTTTACAACTAAGATTCCTGGCTCTTGCTGAGCCACTTAACTAAACTCCTAAGCTTCTCAAGTTGACGCAGTGTGTCACCCAGTGCAATCTACACCTTGTCAACCTGGCAACAACATTCCTTAAACCAATTTCCAGGTTCATAGACAGGCTTATTAACATTTTACAACTTTAACACTGTATTGCATTAGAACCATGACATTTTGGCCCTGGGTACCCCCCAAATACTCCCGCACATCCCTTTATGCAAAAGGTATTTTAGTCCATCTCTAAGAGTTGTCAAAGTCCTAACAGCAGTGCTGAGAAGTCCAAGTACCAAGTCTTCTCCAAGATCCAAGGCAAACTCTCAACTGTGAGCCCCTGGACAAAAGAAAAGTTAAAGACATCTAACATTCAAAGGCACAAGATAAACACTGCCACTCCAAAAGGTGTACACATCAGGATACAAACCACTGGGACCAACACAAGTCCAAAATCCGGATGGGCAAGCATTAAGTCCTGTAGTTCCACGTGGAATATCTGATGCAGCCTGTAGTGAGTTGTGAGCTCCAAAAGCCTTACACGGCTCCACCCTGCGGCGCTCCTGCTGGTAGCTCCCTCGGCTTCTGTCTCAGGCCTGCTTTGCTCTCTCCTTGCAGCTCTCCTTAGATGATCCTCGTTTTTGGCTTTTTCAAACTTCTGGGGTTTCCACTGAGTAGGCTTCTCACTCACAGCTTCACACACTGCCCGCTCAGGGGCACACTGCCCGGCCTCCCAGGCCTTCTTCACAAATCTAGGTGGAAGCCTTCTGAACCTCAGAACGCCTGCATTCTGCATGCGCCTAAAACCAGGGCCACGTGGATGATGCCAGGGGCTGCTGCCAGCTGGAGCACTAGCCAGGCTCTCCTCTCTCTTGGCTGCGGGGTCGACTGCCTGGATTGCTGAGCACTCTGACCCTGATTCTGAGGAACAATTTCTCTAAGTAGGTGCCATTCTGCAATCTGGTGTGGCCGCCACCTCCTTTCCGGAACATGGGGCTCTGCAGCTTTCTCCTCAGTGCAAAGTCCCTCACCCTGGCCATTCTGAGGCTGCAAAGGGCGAGAGCCTGCCACCTCCTGTGTTGCCCTCGGGACCTCTTCTCTGCTCTCCTGGTCCTTCTCGGCAGTGGAGATCCTCTCAGCTCTGTCTTTGCATTTCACAGCTTCATTGGAGCTTCCTTTTGGCCAGACTCACAACATTTTCAATCATCTTGCTGGACTCTTTGCTCTTGATTTTTAACATAAATCTGGCTAAAATCCCCCAACAACAGCCATGTCACTGTCTCAATATTTGACTTCCTTCAGATTTTTTTTTTTTTTTTGGTAAGATTAACTAGTCCACTGTGTTTTAGTCTCAGGCAAGGTCTCTGGACAGAAGCAAAATGCAGATGAACTTGTTGCCAAGCCACATCGCAAATCCTCTTAGTCCAACAACCAATGCAGTGACTCAGTATTCTTATTTTTTACTTGTACAAACTGGACATCTCCTTCCAGAGCATCCATTTCATTTCTGTTCTTTGTCATAAATGAGGCCAGGAGTTATTTTCTGAGTATAAAAACATTACTGGGCTGGCCAAATAGCTCAGCAGATTAAAGCACCTCCATTCGATCTCCCGGCCTGCTGCACCAGCCCCCCACCCCGGGGCGTGCTGAGATGGAGATTGAGACTGGGTGTGGCGGTGCGCACCTGTAATCCCAGCTCTTGGGAGGCTGTAAACAGGCGGATCACTGTGAGTGTGATCTAGTAATGAGACCCTGAACACCCTGTAGACCTTCCCTAAAAAATACAAAATAAAAATTAAAACATCACTGCCTTCACCCTGAACCCAAAGCAAGCAGGAATGCTGCTGGTGTCACCCTGCCTCCAGGGAGTCTCTTACTCCTTGATGAAGTCTCTTCCCTCCTCTACAGGGCTGATGATGCAAGTCCGCCGCATAATAGTGGAGCACTTGTGTTAAGAAAGACAAGAAGGGGTTCTTTTTCTCTAGAATATGTTTTTAAAATTCGTTTCATTGAGATTGCACAATTTTAAAATCTACCCATTTTAATTACATATTTTGATAGGTGTGAACAAAGTTACATAGTTGAGTATCCACTATTATTGGAGACATAAACTATTCCCATCATAACCACATTTTCTCCATGCCCCTTGGGAACCCATTGGCACCCAGAGTCTCCAAGGCCTGACGCCCACTTGTCTACTTTAGATAACTCTGTTGTCCTCCTTTATTGGATTTTATGTAAAGAGAACGATGTGGTATGTAGTGGTTCCTAGTTTACCTCACTCAGCATGATTTTTTCATTCCTGTCACCATCTTTAGCATTATTCCCATTGTCCGATTTGTTTTAGGTTTAATTTGCCTTTCTTTTTTAGAGTCAGGGTAGAAGCCCAGCACATCCAGTAAGTTTTTCTGTTTTTTTTTTTTTTTAAGTTGGAACCTTTTCAACCCTTAATTTTTTTTCGGGGCTTTTTTTTGCTTTTTTCAGTTGGTTTCCTTTCCCTTCCTGACTTTTTCTTTGCCTTCGGGTTCTTTTGGTGTGTGCTGTTTGATTTCCAAATCTTTGGTGATGACTTTTGATAGGTTGCAGCCCAAGTACAAACTGCTAAATTATCATGACCCTGATTCAGCTGGCTGAATCCCAATACAAGAGCTCACCTTCCCAATGCCCACTTCCCCCTTCGTCCCTACCCCAGTCCTGGACTCCTTTCCTGCCCATACAAGGGAGAGCCCAGTCAGCTCCTTGCGTGTCACTGACCCCGCCGCACAAACTCCTCCCCTAGCAAGGCCAGTGAAGCCTCAGGCGTCCTGTCTCAGGTCAGAGGATCCCCTGCGCTCCTGCCACTGATCCTTTCCACGTTCTCCTCAATGGCAATAAAGGGTCCCCTCCTCACTTTCTTTCACTTCTGCTTGTCTGCCATGCCAGAAAAACCTAACAACCTTCGAAATACTGTAATGTTATTGGTTTCTAAACTAATTCTTTTGTAGGAAAAGACCATAACTCATGTAATTCCAATTTGTTAAGCTGATAGGCATTCATCTGCTGACATGGAGGCCTATCTGGGTAAGTGTTCTGTGTGTACCTAGAGAGCTTGTGTGTTCTGCTCCTGGCGAGCGAGGCACACCACAGGTGTCACGAGGCTATTGTGATTCAGCGCGATGGTAGGGTCATCCCTGTTCTTGGTTGTTTTATTTGTTCCCTCATGTTCTGAAAAGGAATGAGGTGTTCAGTGTACCTGTGGTCTTGTGTGCTTGTCTTTTCATCTCCAGTACTGTTTACTGAATATATTTCCAGGCTTTGCTATTGGATGCAAACACATTTCACATCGTTGGTTCTTCCTGATTACTCAACCCTGATGATGATTAACCACTTAGCCATGACTATGACATCAGCCTTTGTACCTCCACTTTTTGTTTTAAAATCTACTTTATCCAATAAGCAGCGGTACCAGCTTTCTGTCCATTTGTATTTGTGCAGTCTTTTCCCACCTCTCTTCCTCTCTTGCCCTCCTTTGTTTACATATTTCACATATTGTTTCTTAATGAACGTAGGTTTAGATGTTGTGTTCTCTCTGGTCTGACAGTCTGCCTTCTACCTGACATGGGATTACTCAGCTTTCTCATTCCTGGGGCCAAATACCTGCCCTCTGCCGCTCAAAGAGGCGAGGGTCATTTGGCTTACAGCCCTCGAGAACTCGTCCGTGGCCCGCTGGCTCCACGGCATGGTGGACGGTGCAGTGGGCCAGGGCTGCTCGAGGGTGGCCAGGAAGCATAGCGCAGGGGTCCGAGGCCAGAGAGGAAAGGGCCAGGAGCCAGATACAGTCCCCAAGCCATGCCTTCGGGACTCACCGCGCACAGCCGAGACTGCGCCTCACCGACCCCTGGGTACCTCTCGGCCCAGGCAAGTTGATGTCACTCGGTCTTTAAATTATTTTAACTTATCATGCCTATTGCCATGACATGGTTTAAAGCTGTCATCTAGTGTTTGTTTTCTATTTGTCCCGGTTTTTTTGTTCTTTTCTCTTATTTTTAAAATGAGTAATTTTTAGTAATCTATCTTATCTTCACACTGGTGTTTTAGCCACATGTTTTGATTTTTTTTTTAGTGTTTGTTTTTGGGTTTACAGAATGCATGCCCTTCCTTTGTGCTGTTGTCCTCGCAGCCTGCCCCTCCTCACACAGCGTCCGTCCCACAGCACACCGTTAATATTTTGCTTTACAGAGTCAGTTACCTTTTAAAGAGATCTGAAATGAGGGAAATATATTCTATCCCTTCCTCCGATCTGCCACTTGTAGCGCTTTTCGTGTCCTGTGTGCTCCAAGTCCCCTTGATGTCATTGCGCTCTGTCGGAAGAGGCCTTTAACATTTCTCATGCAGAAAACCTGGTGCTGAGTTGCTCCAGCTTTATCCGTGGGGAGGTGCCACCGTGTCCCTGTTGTGTTGGAAGATGGTTTCCCGGGTACAGAGTTCTGGCTTGACAGTGGTGCCCTCATACGGCCCTTTAAACTGCGTCTCCACCACCTCGGCGCCTGCGTAGTTTCCCCAGAGGTCTGTCGGTATGCTGACGCTTGCTCTTCACCCAAAGCATGTGTACATTTTAAAAATTTGGTTGCTCTGTATTCTTTGGCTGTGTATTTTCGGTAATTCCATTGTGATATAACTTATGATCACCTTCACAATTAATTCTGCTTGGGTTTTTTTAAGCTACTAGAACTATAGATCTATAGTTTTTAACAGATTGGGAATTTTATTCAGCTAACGTGTGTCTTCACACAGTTTTCTATGCCCTGTGCGCCGTATTCTTTTCTAGCTTAGAATTTTAGACCGTGGATTGGCGTCCCGCTCGTCACTGGCGCTGTTTATGGCTTTCTGCACCCCCTCTCCTTCCCTCTCCGTAGCAGCCGTCAGCTCCGTGGATCTTTATTTCCACAGCACCCTATCTGGTCACGCTCTTGTGGGGTATTTTCACTTCGGCTACGGTAGTTTTCAGTCCCATTCGAGTATCTTCTCCATTTGCGTTTCTCTCTTCGTTGTGCTCATATGAGTCAGGTTAGTGAGGCGCAGTCTCGGCTGTGCGCGGTGAGTCCCGAAGGCATGGCTTGGGGACTGTATCTGGCTCCTGGCCCTTTTCTCTCTGGCCTCGGACCCCTGCGCTATGCTTGCTGGCCACCCTCGAGCAGCCCTGGCCCACTGCACTGTGCAGTTTTATGAGTAAGTTGCGGGGCACAGCCACACCTGCTGCCTTAGGTCAGTGTGTTCTGCGGCCACGTGACACCACCAGTGGCCAGCGGCTGAGCAGAGGCTGTGGGATGCAAAGCGGAAGCACCTGCTGTCTGGCCTCGCCCTCCCCCTCCCACACGACGTGTGTTGGCTCAGGTATTCTCAGTCCCGTGAAGTACTTGGTGCTTTGATGTCCTTTTCTGGTCCTTCCATCATTTCTGTCACGATGTTCTGTTTCTGCTACGTGCACCTTATAATTTTCTTGTATTTAATCAATTTTAATGTGGTGATAAACACTGTGAATTGTGCCTTGTTCAGTGAGATTTTTGCTGTATTTCTACAAAATGAGTGCCAGACTTTTGGCAGCGGGCTGATACTGCTGCTAAGTTAGTTTGATCCCCAAAGGCCATTTTGACCTCTTTTAGTGAAGAGCTACAATAGTCTTTCTTGTAGGGTAATCTGGTCCCTTTTCTAGACTGGCATCTTTTGAGGTGTGTGTGTATGTATGCACATGTGTGTATACATGTGTGTGTGCATGTGTGTGTCACATGTTCAATGAGGTCAGGATGGAGAGAACTCAGGAGAGTCTCCAGTGGATATGAAGCTCACCTTGTTCACATTATTTACTTCTCAGAAGTTGCTCTTGTCTGAAGCCTGTTGAGGTCTTGCCTTGTGTGCATGCAGACTGGTTCCAGCCGCAGGCCTCGCAGAGACCAATAGACTCCTTCTGTCGAAGATCCCCTTCCTGTAGCTTCCCGCTCTCTGCTGTCTGCCCCGTGGCTGCCTTGGTCTGCCCCGTGGCTGCCTTGGTCGCCTTGGTTTCCAGCTTCTCCACTCAGCAGTGAGGGCTCCCTCCATGAGCTAGTCTGGGAGTCACCTTCGGGGAGAGCGGGCAGAGGCAGTGCTCCTTCCTCTCTGCCCTCCCTGGAGCACAGTCTTGCCACTCGCACGTCCCTGTGTGTGCAATGGCTGCTTGTGCTTTATCCACTTCTCCAGGTGTTTTTATGGGATGTCACTCCAGTCGTACTTGCACGGTACGGAGAAATTCGCCGGGCTTAGGCTTTGCTTGTTTGTACTCTTAGATATTTTATTTCACTTTCCATTTACTATTTCTCTGAATTGAAAGCTATGGAGCATGAGGGTGAGCTGGGAGGCTGGGAATAGATGGGCTAAATGTGGCTCACGTACCTCCAGTTATCTTAGACTCTATCCAGCAAGTACTCATTTGTGTTTTAAGGGCCCGCAAGTGAGTCATAGGTTGTTGCTTCCGTACTCGGTGTACCTGGTACAGAGGTGGAAACATGCCTGTCATCACTGATCGCACTGATGCCCCAAGGTGCCCGAGGTTGGCACCACTCCAGGAAGACAGTATCGCTTAAGTCCCAGAGACTCCATGTCCTGCGCAGAGCAGACCCAAGGGGAGGCGGGCGCCCGAGCCCTTCACGGGGCGGGGGCGGGGTCCAGCCCAGGGCACCTCAGAGCGCCTCAGCCGCTGTCTCACTGCTCCAGAGAAGCACAGTGAGGAAGCCCAGCAGCGTGTGACGTGAGTCCTGCCCGGGCCATCCCGGTGGTGGAAATCAGAAGATATGCAGGCAGACGCTTCCATACAGCTCAGTGCAGTCACGAGCACCTTGTCTTCAGCTGTGCGCTCTGCCAGTGGTGACCTGCCATCTGCCGCCATGCCCGGGTAGAAAAGCACAGACAGCTATAAAAGCATCGTGTGCATACACACGCACGCATACGAGCGTGTGTGTGTGTGTGTGTGTGTGTGTGCGTGTACAACAGGAAGAAGATCCACCTAAAAATTAATGATGTACGTTGTATGGGTGACTAAACTACGTGTAATATTTACTGTGAAGAACCAGATCCCACGGTTTTTTCACTCTAAGCGTATAAATTTTCTTTTGCCAGAAAAAAAGACATCTGTCTAATTGTGTACAACATTTTCAAAGAGCAGTATTGCTTAAAAGTAATTAAAGTGCTATTTCGGTTTTAAAAACAAAAGATAAGATTGATGAAGTACATTGCCAGATTTTGGACGCTCCACTGTTTGCCTCCTGCCAGCTGAAGGTTTGCTTCTCCCCTTTTCCTTTAGATCAGCATCAAAGTCATGGTTCAGGACACGCTCACCGGCACTGAGAAACTCGTTAGTGTCGCCTTCTCTACATTTGTGGCCAAACCAGTTGGAGATGAAAAGGTAAATCTTTTTCTCTTCGTGTAGGCCAGGGACGCAGGGAGAGCCGCGTCAGAATTGTTTCTTCTTGTTCTGAGGCTCGCTTTCTCCCAGTCGCTTACTTACCGGTATTCACTGTGAAGCTGTCTGTCTGCAGTAGCCTCGCAATACTGAGTACTAAGCTCCTCAGAGAAAAGAAGACGTGCTCAGTCCATGAAAGAGAAAAACATACACTTTTTAGTGGTACTGGCCACTGTCCTAAACTACATCGCAGCCCCTTTATATTTGTTCTGAAAGAGGGTCTTACTAATTTGCCTAACTGGAGGCCAGGTCTTAGGACCCTCCTGCCTCAGCCTCCCGTAACCCTCCAATTGCAGGTGTGCACCTCTGCAGCCAGCTGAAATATTTAGTTCTAAATGATCCAAAGGCCACATCAGTGTCTTGGAAATATTACTACTTTGGTTCTTTTCTTTTGTAGTTGTATAACTCAAAATTGAGTTAAAAAATGTTTTAAAAAGCAGGAGTAGTATAGCAAGTAGTTGTATGTTTTGTCCAGTCATTTTCTTATATCCCAAGGAAAATTGTTGTTGAGTTTAAAAATAAGCCTTGAGGGGCTGGGGATCTGGCTCAGCGGTAGAATGCTTGCCTAGCAAGCTGGAAGCCCTGGGTTCGGTCCTTGGCACCAAAATAATAATAATAATAATAAATAAAAATAAGGCTTGGGGCCTGGTGCGGGGGGCACCCCCTCTGAGCACCAGAGTCCCAGTGCACGAGCCTGGCCACCGGCAGCTGCAGACCACTGCGCGCCTGTAGGCTGCAAGGAAGGTGCCCTATCCGCGCCTGTGCAGGGCCTGGAGCCTGGGACCCGGCCCGCGCTCACTTGGAGCATTGTTTAAATATGATGCTTGCTTTGGAACGTAAATATCTTCCTCCAAGGGAGCTCTGAGCGTGCACGGTGGCTTCTCCACCTACGCCTGGAAGTGGCCCAAGCCCCTGCGTCCCTCTCCACATTTCTTCCACAGAACCTGGGCCAGGCGATGATTCCTGTGTGGCCCTGCAGGCCCTGGGTGCCAGCCACTCGTCCCCTGCGCACATGCGGACGCAGCCAGTGCCTGGAAGCCTGGCTGTCCTGCCCAAGTGCCCTCCACTTTGTGTCTGGGAACTCCATTGCTTCTTCCCAAACCACAGTCCCACCAGCTGCTTGCGTTTCTTGAAGCACAGCTACCAGGACATGCAAAGTTGGAAGAACAGAGATTGGAACAAAGGACACACCCGTAAAGACCCAGCTAAAGCATGAGCAACAGAAATGAATAGACACTTCTCAGGAGAATGACGCCTGCTGGGCCAGTAAACACATGAAGGAATGTCCAGCATCACTGGCCACCACAGAAAGGTAGCTTAAAACAGCACTGAGACCCCATCTGACCCTGGAAGGAATGACCAGGACTGGGGACACGGACAAAGCAGCCCAAGGTTCCTACAGTTTGTGCATGTCTGAGGCACCGGCTTAGGCCTCCCTGCACTCACTGTTTTCCCTGGAGTCTCCCCTGATCTCTAAACTCTGGAGAATGAGAGATTTGGGGTGGCTACAGAGTCTCACATCTGAAAGCAGGTGACAGGAGGGCATACATGGCATCTGACAGCATCAGATGGAGAGAGAGAGCCGTCCTCCCCTCAGCCCACATCCAAGCCTGTCCTTGCGCAGAGAGGAGCCTTCCAAGGGGCCTTCCGGGGAAGTCAGCACCTTTCGGTGTGGCCTGAACCGGTGGCTCAGACAGCCTCCTTGTAAAGCACATGCCTGCACTGCCTTCTTGCCTAGTCAGTGACGTTCTTGCTCAGCAGCTCTTCTGAGCAGTAGCAAGGCACTGTACAAAAAGGATAGTTTGCTTTGAACCAACAGGGCCACTGGCTTTCTGTGTAAAGTGAGTTTAGTCCAGAACAAAATTGGCTGTCATTCAGCACGTTCCTGACTGGGTTGGACCTGGGGTCCAGGGAGCATGGCCTGAAGCCACCTAGGGTGAGTCACTGGCTTATTTGATGCTTGTCTGGGCCAAGGGTCAGGCACAGGCCCAGGTGCCCTTTGCGCAGGTTCAGCTGGTTGCCATCTGGGGCAAAGGTGACCCCTTAGTACCTTAGCTCCAGAGGTCCAGGTTTCTAGAAGTCACTTAGAGCTTTGATTTGACATATCATCAGTCACTCTAGTAGACAGCGTTTTTATTGTATGATGAAACCCCCAATTGGGAGTATCTCTTGTGCGAGATAATTTCTCTAGATCCTCTCCATTTCCTCCCCTTTTGCAAAAGATAGGAAATATTCCTTGATAAAAATTTGGCACAGTCACCATCCCTGCCTACCTTCATCCAGCTGAAGAATTCATATCTTCTTGTCTGTTGAAAATTTTTCTAAATCAAGGAAAATAGAGGAAAACCTAGTTTTAATCCTCAGCACCACAAAAAAGAAAAATAAACAAGGATAATTATTGAAGTGCATCTTTAGTACATAAAAGAGGGACACTTGGACAAAGTAATCCTATGCTAACTTTCTTAAATTTAAAAATATTTGAAGGAAAATTTTAGCCAGTATATGTTCTATGAAAATACCCTTAGATGCATGAGTTACAAATTATGTAGTGTATAGTTTATTTTGTGAAATGTATAGTGTGCTTTTATAATTTAGCAAGGCGATGAAATGAGGGAAAGGAAGCAAGATAGATCATCTACAGGTACAAATTCTCTATGACGAATGTTATCTAAAACATATTAATATGTCTGTCTAAAACATACCAATAAAAATTTTTTTAAAACATTAGGAGACGAAAGACCAATGTTTTTCTTTCTCCAGATTCACTTAAAACCAGTCAGACTCCTGACTGAACAAGATCGTGTGGAACATGATCTGGCTTCTGAGCGAAGGAAAGTTCGACTGCAGCATGAAGACACCTTTCAGAGTTTGATGGAAGAAAACGGCAAGTTTGAAGGTCAGTCAGTGTTGTCCCGGGGTCCCCGGGTGCAAGCGAAGGGAATTTCACCTATACTTCGGCCCTAGGCTGCTGTGAACCCAGGGACTAGAGAAGACAGGGGCTCACCACGCTGACAGTGGTGGGACCCCAAAATCCTCCCTGCGCTGGAGAATGTCAGGGGCGGGGAGGCGACACAAGGACCAGACAGATAGCGGTCCTGCAAGTCAGCATTCAGATTCTGGGTGAGGGAAGCCTTCTGTGGTGGAAAAGAGGCCTTCCCAGAGTTCTGCTTCAGCGAATGAAACTGGTCAGGCTGATGGGGGCTCAAGGTCAAGGGCATTGTTTTCCAGTAATTCGGGGTCATGAGTCCAGACTTACCTGGACCACAGAGAGGCCATTACAGGAGACAAGTTGGTTCTAGGAGAAACGGGTGACTCCTGCCAGGCCTGTGCTGCTGGCACCTGGAATGCTATTTGCTTGCCTACCGTGGAAAGAGCAAGGCTCATTGCTAAGGTGTGTTAAGGCAATGAGGTCCGCATCGTTCTGCGACTGTGCTCAGAATAGCGAGTCACCCTGGTAAAGACAGCCGCAGCATGAACATGTTGCAGACGCATCCCTCACTCAAGCAATGAAATAGTGTTACTGTGGGGATGACTGAGGGCAGCCCAGACAGCCATGCATAAAAACCCAAACAGCAGCAAGCCCACATGGAGCCTGCTGAGCTCTCACTGGGAAGCCCGGGAAACAACTGAAGGGACAGACAGGATCTTCAGCCTGGGCCTAACAAGCAGCTCTCCCGGGTGGCAGCAGAGAATGCAAGCCTTGCTCTCCCATGGCTGGGCAAGAGTGTCCACACAAGCATGACTTTTTAAACCCCTGTTGTCCTTGTTGAGATGGCACTCCCTGCATTTGTAAGGAGAAAGTAGAAAGAGCCACTAGAAAACCAAGAAGACTTCATTAAACCTGGCCTGAAACAGAGCGGTCGCCATCCCTCTGAATAGAACCAAACTCTGTTGGTTGCATTTTCTTTTTGGAAATTTTCCTAACTTTCATGGCCCAGTGGTGGAGGAGACCGGCAAGCCAGCTTCGCTTGCAGACGCTGAGCCCAGACCTGGGCATTATGAAGGGCGGAGTGTGCAGGCTGCCCTGCCCCTCCCTGCCGCTCCCAAGAATCCATCTTGGTGGCCCCTGCTTTCTGCAGGCTGTGGCAGGTTGCTGCTGCTGAGGCGAGCTTCCGGAGCGGGAGGGCTGCACTCAGATGGACAGGACTGTGGGAAAGCTGACCCCAGACTCACACTGGGAGAAGAAAAGAGGGAAACACCGAGGGCAGCTTTTTAAGGACTTTCAGGGACCATGTTTCTTTCTGCTTTGGGTCATTGTTTGAAAGTATGGCATGCTGGGGAAACTTAAAGTGTGAAGCATTTAATCACAATGTGTCAGGAAAAATCCAGAACTGCAAGGAAAACGTTCCATGCCGAGGAGTTTGGAAGATGACCCGGGTAATGCTGTGGGGCTGGCTGGAACATTTCCAATCAACAGCCCAGACTCAGATTTGAGTTCAGTTTACATACAGTTCGCAAGCAGGAAGTACAAAGCTGGTAGCTGGCTATTACAGGATTTGTACGGATGCCAGGAGTCGAGGCCTGTGTGCCGGGCAGATTTGTTCTAAGCAGGTTTCCTAAAGGGAATTGTTTATCGTTAGTGGCGGAGGAGCTGGAGCGGAGCAGGTAGAGTGGAATCCATCCGAGACTGGGACGGTCTGTTCTGGGCGTGAAGTATAAAGTCCTTGAAGCAAGCTGCACTATAAACTAGATAGATTCAGAGTTTAAGCAGGAAAACACAAACACTGCAGCAGCTGCACGTGACCAGGGTGACAGAGCCGGCTATCTGGGAGAGGCAGCTGGACAGAGACAGTCCAGGTGAACTGAGCTTAGCCATCCAATTAGGTGGCGAGCAGGGCAAGCACAGCCTGTCTCAGCATCGCCACAGGCTGCTGATTGACTTTTGATTTCTACTATAACGTCTTTGCAAACTGGCCCTTACAACTGTTTTTCAGTAAGGAATCGGACGCCTAAGCGTCTCCTCCTGTGCATTTCTTCCACGCCCGCACAATGAAAAGGAGAGGCCGAAAGGCTTCCGCTCGGGCAGAGGCCCTGACCTGCAGTGGGGAGACGGCTGCAGCGCTGTCCACGCAGGCCGACGACGCAACTCTAATGCATGCAAAGTACAGATGTCAGGCCTGCCCCCCAAAGCCTGCAGAAGCCTCAGGTCTGCTCGCTGTGCAAGCCCAGCCAGAGCCGGGCTGCGCTCTGAACCCTGAGGCTAGCTGTGTTCCTGGCCTGCTCCAGCCGTGGCTGACATGTGCACTCCGCCCCCAGCCCAGCCCCCGCCTTCTCTCGTCCCTGAGCGCGCTAGAGGTGCTCCTAGCGAGTAGCTGTTCCCCAGCCACTCCCCGAGAGGGAGATGCTGCCTTGCATTTGAGGCTTTACAGTACCTCATATTTTTTCAATTTTTAAAATGTCACAATTATTTTTAAATAGATAGTACATGTATAGGGTGAAAAATTCAAGAGGTATGAGGAGGAATACAGTTAAAAAGCAAAGCTTTCTACCATCTGTGTGCCACAGCTTGCAGCCACTGATAGTGCTCTCTCCTTCTGTCTCTACCTCTCTGTCTCTCTGTCTCTCTGTCTCTCTGTCTCTCTGTCTCTCTCTCTCTCTCTCACACACACACACACACACATTGATAAGATAACAAATAGTTATATACCTGATGTTTTTAATTTAACAATACATTTTAGAGATAGCTTGTAATGATTTATTTTGAGCAAAAATCTGTAATATTTGGGTAAATAATATTAGGCTGAAAAAATCTCAACCAATGCTACTTAGGGTGCCATCTAATAAAATCAGTCTTTTAAAAGACTGACTGGTGAGCCTGACTTGGTGGCACACCTGTAACCCCACCTGTATAGGAGACTGAGGCAGGAAGATCCCGTTTAAAGCCAGTGTGGGCAGGTTACAGATTCTGTGTCTCACAGTAAAAATAAATCAAACTCTGAAGAAGTAGTTCAACACTTCCTGGGTTCAGTCCTTAGAAACAGAAGGAGAAAAAGAAGGAAAAGGAAAGAGGAGGAGAGGAGAAGGGGAAAGGGAGGGAGAGATTTTGAAATCTTTCTGAAATCTCTTTGGGAAGCTGTTTAGTTTTGATTACAGCAATGTGGTAGCCTCCAAGTCTGGCAAAACTATGATTTCCATATGGATTTTGCAAATCCATCTCAGCAGTCAGAAAAATGGTGCTGTTAGAAGTGGCTCGAAAGGACACACACGTGAGGCGAAGGACTCTGGGCTGGCATGAGTCTGGAGCACTGCGGGGCCAGACACTTGGGTCTGTGGGCCGCACCAGGACTGAGTCGAGGCTTCTCCCTGCAAGGGCTCTAGCGGGGCCGGGCTGCTCCGCTGGCGCAGCTCTGGGGTTGGGGCCCGTGTGAGCTGGGGAGCAGAGTAGAGCAGGGCAGACCCCACTTCCAGGCTTCGGGGGATGGTGACGGAGCAGCACGCACCCTGAGAGTCCCCACTGCTGAGGTCCGGGCAGGAGGACCCCAGGCAAAGACTACAGGGCCCTGGGGTGGCCCACAACGGTGGTATGATTGACCACGCAAGGAACTAGAAGTAGACTATCACCAGGAGGTAAAAAACAAGAGAGTATCAAAGTGTGGTCCATGGACAGGAAGACAACCTAGAGCCTTGGGCAGGGAATTTCTGTGAAAGACAGTAATTAAAATTCTAAATTTAGTGACTGAAATATTAAATATCATGGCATACTGGATATTTTAACATTTATCTGTTTACTTTTGTTTTCTGGTACTGGCATTAAACCCAGGGCCCTTGCGCTGAGCTACACCCCCAGCCCTTTTATATTTTGCATTTATTTGGGACGAGGTCCAGCTAAATTGCCTAGGCTGGGCTCAGAGTTGTAACCCTGCTGCCTCAGCCTCACAGAATGCTGCATTGCAGACCTGAGCCACCAGGCCTGCCTCACGCACGACACCTGAGGGAATCACCCAAGATAGAGCCAGCGGGTACAGAAATGGGAAACGGCCGGAGAGGCAGCAGACCCACGCAGGACGCGAGATGCCCAGCACACCCAGCTGAGCGGGAGGAGCGACCCTGGAAGTTGTGACACAGAGGCAGCTCACGGAGAGATGACAAGAGGCCGCTCTGTATGGAAGAGAGGACGCGGCACCTCATTCACGACCGTGAGATGCAGACTATAAGCAAACCAAACACCATTTAACACTCGCTACACTGGGAAGCAGCAAGTGTCTGGTTACACTCTGTGAGCAGGACCAGGGCAGAGTGGGCACTCCCATGAGCAGCCCTCAGCAGTGCACGCAGCTACCCCGTGAGAGGGGCGCCGGTCGTGCGAGGTGAATCACGCCGCGGGGCGCAGCTGCCGTCCTGCATTCACTTCACAAGTACGACTGGCCAGCCGTATTGAGGTCTCCATATTGCAGTGGAATGTGCACAATCTCTCCTGCAAACAGCTCAGGACTAGGGGTCAGATAATATGAGATTGCACAGCTGAGCAGGAGCCTGCAGGGGAAGGTGCAGCTCTTAGGGTGCACTGTGGCAGGCCAGTAGGGCAGAACCGAGGTAAAGAAGAAGGGCAGTGGTGGCTGGGAAGGGACAGAGGTGTACAGTGTCCGGATGGCCATGTACCGTGCGTGTCCCAGTGGCAAAGGCAGTGTTTCGTGAGAGCAACCCAGGCAAGCCTGGATAGCTGGAGCGCAGGGAGACAGAGCAGGAGAGACCGTGGGACAGGAGCAGGGTGGCGCCCCCGTCCATCCAGATGTGGTGGGGAGGGAGCCACAGGCGGGGCCCATTGGGTTACCAGAGGCCACGGGAGGGATCTAGGCTTCCCACAGGAACCTCAGGCCACTGATGTTCTACAGAACCTTGTATTCACTGCTGTGGCAAGGTTGTTGGTTTTGACCTCTGGCCTGTGACTGGGATGGGGTGGGAAGAACCAGAAAGGATCTGAGATCCAGGTGTTGGGCTCTTCCAGGATCAAGAAAGTGCTGTCTTTTATCACAATGAGGAAATTAGCAACTGTGTTAATGCATGTTTTAAGGAAGCAACTCAATGGAACAAAAGGGAAAAAAGAATTAAAAGGCCACCCATTAATTACGAATTGAACAACTCCGTGAGAAGTGGGGTTAAAGGTCACCGTGGCCACACTTCCTGGTCTCCAGGTGGCACTGACTTGGGACCGGCCGTTATCCCCTGCTCCTGGCACACGGACGGTGCTCACGCAGGCTGCCACTCAGCTCTGCCTGTGGCTTCAGGCCCAGATGGGCCCCAGATTTCCACCCTCTCCCCAGTGGTGACTCATGGGTGATGCAGGAAGCAGCTGAGGACCTGTTACTGCCCTGCACAGAGCAGGATCTCTCAGTTGCTCAGAGGGAAAACCAGTGTGGCGGCAAATGAGCAGACCTGGTTCAGAAGACGGGGACTTGGGGTAGAGGGGCGGGCGTCTTCTCCTCTGAAACTGTGTCCATCGCGGGCACACCGGTCCCCGGGGTCCCTTCATCTTCAGTAGCTATAGTGAAGCATAACCGGACACAGCTAGCAGCCTAAGTGTACTGCACACAACTCAAGAAGCGTGACTAAGTGTACACACGTGGGCTCATCACCCAGCATTCCCGCCCTGCACTGCCCTGCCTGGACCTTCCCCACCAACACCACCACCTCTATGAACTCACTTGGACATTGTGCAAGAGACTAAAGCTAGAAGTTCCATGGTGCCCAGCTACTCCTCTTCTAGGCTTCTTCCTGAAGGAGCTGCATACACTGGATTAAGTGATCCACGCACACCATGTTTATAGCAGCACTACTACCGTAGCTAAGCCTTGAACGTGGCCTTTGTGTTCCATTCCGTGGACCACTAGCAACTGACAAATCCTGGACTCTGTGCAGGGCAGTAACAGGTCCTCAGATGAATGGGCCAAGAAAAGGGTTTTCACACAGCGCAGCATTGCTCTGCCATAAAGAAGGATAACCTGGGGTCGTCTGTGGGGACATGGGTGCATATGAGACCACAGTGCTAAACGAAATAAATCAGACACGGCGCAAATATCACGTGGTTTCTCTTATGTGAGAAACACAAAGCATAAACACAAGAGCTAAAGACAGCACAGAGGGTAGGAAACATAGAGATGGGCCTGTCAAGGGAAGAGGACCACGGCAAGGGTGAAGGTGCGTCCTGCACGCGTGCTGACTGCCCGCGGAGGAGGGCGGCTCCGGGAACCACTACCAAGGAAAGCCCTGGGCTGAAGCGAGCCGGCCTCTGCTCCAGTGGGCTGGGCAGGGGCAGGATCTGGGCAGTGTTTCCTGTGCTGAGTACCAGGACTGTCCTCTGTCCTGCAGGCACCCTGGGGAGCCCCTCGCCTCGTGGTCAGAGCTTGCTGACGACCCTGATCTTCCTGGCACTTGGCTTGAGCTTGCCGTGGGGCGGGGAAGCCACCAGGTCACACAGGCCGCTCTCCAATACTGATGTTGTCCCCCCACAGATCCCGTGTGTGACAAGGAGGAAGGGACCGAAACCAGTGCCACTGCGGTACAGAGCATTGAGCTGGTGCTGCCGCCCCACGCGAACCACCATGGAAACACGTTCGGGGGGCAGATCATGGCATGGATGGAGACAGTGGCCACCATCGCTGCGAGGTTGCTGTCTTTGGCCGGGGATTTGGGAACAGTGGGGTGGAGGACTGCAAAGGGACGGGATGCAGGCATTGGTCTTCCAAGGACCGAGGAGAAAACAGAGAAGGGTGTTGCCATTTATCAAAAAAAGGCAACGATCAACCATTGCCTACTTACCTCAGGTTCTTCTTTCCTTTCCTGCAAAGGCAACTGTCTAATCCCTTGCTTCAGCAGTAAAATCAAAGCAACAGCATTAAGATTTTATTCTAGAGGCTGGGGAAATGACTCAGTAGAATAAGAGCTTGCCTGACAAGTGCAAGGGCCTGAGCTCAATACCGAGTTCCACAAAAAAAAAAAAAAAAAAAAAAAAAAATGTAGTCTGGAAATAAGGTTAAAACCGGAGTCTTCAGATGGATATTCATTGAAGAGAAGGTTAAAGATGCCAATTTTAATAAATTTGTTTGAACTATCAAAAAAAAGATTGGCCTTTTTGGTGCTGGCTAAAATCATTATAGCCAAAGAACTGGCTGAAGAAGGACAGAGAGAGGGAGCACTTAGAAAAACACTTAAAACTCCTTCAATTCCAAGAAGGTCATTTTATTCATAATGGAGCAGTTTAAGGAGCAAGAATGTTATGGGAATGCACAGGAACAGGACTGCCCTCCTGACAATTTTTTTCATTACTGAAAATTAAAGTTTTATCTTCCCCAGACTAAAAAAATTATATTATTGCTATGTGCCTAGTTATGGCTATTATTAGAAGCCCATAGTTATCCTTTTCATGAGCTATGCACAGGGAAGAGAGCCTGTTTTGACAACAAGATTGTCACCCTTAAGGGCAGCAGTGCGTTTGACCCTGAACATGCTGTGTTGCAGAGACTTAGCTACACCCAAGGTTGCGGGGTCGGTTCCCTCCCACTCCAGGGCACCTGCCTGATGCAGCAGGTTTAACACGCGCCAAGGCATGGCATTTCAGAGCCTAACTATTCTTTCTCATGACTTCAAACCCCCACACACAAAATCATGACATGCATGTCTTGTAGTCTTCTGGGCGTGGCTCGGCCATCCAGGTGCTTTTTACACGGGGAGAAAAGTTGTCCTTTTGCCCTTCAGGGGACTCCAGGAAGCTGGGCTGGGCAGAGTGAGTGGCATCCCCTGGCAGCTGCCACTTCCTGGCACTTGCTGTCAGATGAGCAGAGCCCCCACTCTGGAGCCAAGACAAGTGGGGAGTCCTAGCCTCTCAGCAAAGGCCCCACCACAGGGAAATGGTGTTTCCCACACCGCTGTAGCCGTCCACACAGCCAATCTCAGAAAGCACAGCCCAATGGCTTATTTCACTTGAGTTATAAGAGTCTGGGCAGAGGGCCTAGCCATACAGATCAGCGGACTAAAGCGTCTGCTTAGGCCATGCCAGCCCCGCCCCCGGGACGTACTGAGACAGTGATTGAGACCGGGTGTGGTGGTGCACACTTGTAATCCGTGTTTGGGAGGCTGAAAACAAGAGGATCACTATGAGTCCGATCTGTGTAGTGAGACAGGACCTGTACTAAATACATTAAAAAAAAAAAAAAAGAGCCTGAGCAGGATGTGGTGGTGCACACCTGCAATTCCAGCACTCAGGAGCCAGAGGCTGGAAGAACCACACCAGCATGGGCCACAGTGAGTGCAAGGCCCCTCAAACGATGGAGCAAGACCCTGTCCCAAAACCAAAAGAGGACCCTGGTCGCAGGGCGGCTGCTCCCTGCTCAGTAAGTGGGACAGTTTGTGAGAACGTGGTAGAGAGTGACTGTTTCCCTCTCCCTCCTGTGTTCCCAGCCGCCTGTGCCGAGGACACCCCTTCCTCAAGTCTGTGGACATGTTCAAGTTCCGGGGCGCCTCCACCGTCGGGGACCGGCTGGTCTTCAGGGCCATCGTCAACAACACATTCCAGACCTGGTAAAGGGTGCTCTCAGGCTGCTTTGTGCAAACTCAGCCTTGCACGGGTACAGCTTTGCATTTTTATTTCAGCCTAGAGCTGAATGCAGACACTCCTTTGCTTTTCAGCTCTCTCTGGGGCCGAGCTGCGGGGCTCAGGGGCTCACTTCTTCGCGGGGTGCCAGCCGCAGTGCAGCCTCACTCCCTCTCATCTTTCCTCCACCTCACCCCGCTTTCCTTTTGCAAAGGGTCTGTCTCCCTGTGCCCTCATATTTGTCTTTCACTTTGCTCTTTACACACTGAATTTCTCTTATGACAGAAACCCAGTGATGTCCGAGCTTGTGTGTCACTCGACATCATTGTCCCACAATGCTTGCTGCCCTACAAATGGCTCCAGTGTGTCCTTCTTTGTGGCAGTGAACACCTTCCTTCTGGTTTGTGAAGTATCACTCACTTCTCAGAGTTGTGGCCACACATTCAAGCCCCTGCTCTGCTCAGGGCCTCTCCACACTCAGTGAATTGGGGTCATTGGACTTTTGTCCTGGAAGGGTGGGGGCTGGTGCCAGTGGCCCAGGACGATTCTGGCCTGTGCCTGTCATCCTGGCCTAACTGTCAGTTCTTCCTTGCTGTCCCTCATTCCCGTGGCCACATGGTCAACTGGCTTATCTTGGGCCTGTTTATGTACAGCGCAAGGTCAAACTGCTTCCTGGTTACTGTATTAGTCAGGATACTTGATGAAAGCCAGTATGATTTTTTGTAATGTACAAACAAAATGAGTATCTTTGCTTCCCATTTTAACTTTAGCATTTGATTCTTTGAAATTATAAAACTATTATTTTCAGAGAAGATAATTTGACCATTGCAATTTAACTTCTCTGCCCACTACCCAAACATGGGTTGTGCTCAGGCCCTCCACGGGACGTTCAGATCAACACCTTGCCTTGAGCGAGTCCTCCCTGCTCTGAGCACACTCTTCCCAGCATCCTTGCTACTTTCTGCAGCAGCTCTGGAGTCTTCTTTCCTGAGTGTCTTTTCCAGGTGTGAGCCAACATGTGGTACGTGCTGCTGCCGCCAAGCGCCTCCCAGTGGAGAGGCAGCTCATAAAAACCCGTGCTGTGTCCTGTTCTTTCACCTCATTCTCTGAACCTGTGTAACTTCTGGCTTTTCCTCAAAGTCAAAATGACCAGGAAAGGTCAATGTTTTAGGGCTGGTGAGATAGCTCAGTGAACTAAACACCTGCTTAGGCAAGCCCAGGGACCAATCAATCCCCTGTACCACAGGCCTTCACGGCCTTGCCCCCGCACACTGAACCAGCGACAGAGCGTGGACATGGTGGCACATGCCTGTAATCCAGGCAACGGGGAGGCCAAAAACAGGAGAATCACTGAGTCTGAGTTGGATGGTGAGACTCTGTACCAAATGCATAAAAAAAAAGTTCAATGTTTTGAATTGATTCAGGACATGGAGGCAGCCACAAATAAGACTAAAGTCTTTACTTGTAATAGATTTTCTTTCAACATCACACTATACTGTGGCCATGTGCGCATGTGCGTGTGCATACACACACACACGTGTGTGTGTGTGTGTGTGTGTGTGTGTACACATGAAGCCCTGCGTGGCCTGGGAAAGCTACAGGACTTGCAACAACCATGCAGTCACCCAAAGACAGGCTTCACCTGCTGTGCATACTTGCTGCTGCCCAAAACAGCCAGGCTGCTGTGCTGCTGCGTGGGGGGTGCCGGGCAGGGAGGCCACCCCCACCCCCACCCCCACTGCTCTGTGCCCACTGCCCTGTATCCCTTGCAGTGTGGAGGTCGGGGTGCGTGTGGAGGCCTTCGACTGCCAGGAGTGGGCTGAGGGCCGGGGCCGGCACATCAACAGCGCCTTCTTAATCTATAACGCTGTTGACAACGGCGAGAAGCCCATCACCTTCCCCAGGGTCAAACCCATTTCCAAGGTTGGTCTCATCACAGGCGCAGCAAGAATCAGGCTATACCTGCCACTCCTCTGCCCCCCGCCTTGCCTGACCTCTGCTGCTGTTCCTTTTGTACCTAACAAAGTAACAGGACCCGTGCCTGTCCTGTCCATCTCATCTTGTCCCCTCCTTTCCTGTTCCCTCCTGTCCCTTCCCAGGCATCCCATCTAGTCCCGTCTGGTCCCATCCTCCCCTCCTCTCTGCCTCTCCCTGCCCCTGTCCTTTGCTTTTATTTCCTTTGGCTCCCTTCCCTTCCCTTCTCCCACACCACGCTGCTGGCCTGTGACATGACGGAGCCCTGACACCCTCACCTGTGGGCAGCCACTCACTGCTGTGGGTGACTGTGACCTCTGTGTCCCCTTCTGGGTTCCCTGCCTGTGGCAGGTCCATGGCTGGGCCGCTCCTGTGCCAGTGCTCACTGTCCCCCAGGGCTGGGCAAGCTGTGGTCTTCCCCCGGCGGGAGATGTTGAGACGTCCAGCTTCAGGACACAAAGCAGAGCTTCTGGCCCCCTTGTCCCAGCTAGTCACCCCGCGGCTTGAGCACAATGGTCACGGCCACCCAGGGCTGACAGCAGCAGCACTGCAATGGCAGAATTTGGTCCATTGTCCTCTTTTTCTTGAAGGATGATTTCAGACGCTACCGGGGAGCAATCGCACGCAAGAGAATCCGCCTGGGCAGGTAAGGGAGACGGGTGGGGCCTCCCTCGCGGCAGAGGTCACGACAGCAGGGAGCCAGGCCTGAGGCTCGGTCTGCAAGCATCCCCGCACTGCGGACGCTCTCAGAGGGGTCACGGGGACCCACGTGGGGTGATAAAGGGAGATGTTAACCGTGTTGCTTTTTCCAGGAGATATGTCATTTCTCACAGAGAAGAAGTCCCTGTCTCCACACACTGGGACATCAGCAAGCAGGTGAGGGGCGTCCAGCCCAGAGCTGTACAGGGAACACAGGGTTCTTCTGGCCTGGGCCCAAGTGGCACCACACAGTACGATGAGAAGCTGCTCCTCTCTGGTAGCCTGGCTCTCGGCCACAAGCAGAGCCCTGTCTCAGGGATCATCACCAGTTGCGTGTCCCTGTCTTCTCTGACATCGGTGTCTGATTCCCAGACACTCACTCAGTCCTTGCCACCAGCCGTGTGGAGACCTGGTGTCACCGGGATTTATTATGCCCCCAGCAGGCACTTTTATACAGCCATAAAGCAGCAGTCCTTGGAACTGTTTTAAACAAAATGTAAAGGAAAATCCCCATTTCCTCATTACCCGTGGTTATAAATCACAGTCACTGGGCATGGTGGTGCATACCGGTAATCGCAGGGCCAGGAGGCAGAGGCAGGAGGTCACCACGTGCTCAAGGCCATGCCAGGCTACACAGTGAGTTTAAGGTCAGCCTGAAGTTCGCAGCATGTGCCTATCTCAAAAACAAAAACAAACAAACAAACAAAAAACCCTGATTTTTAAAAAAAAAAAAAGGTCTTAATGACTTCAGAAGGAGACTTTGTCTTTGCTCAGGACATATCTGTCTTGCATCAGCTAAAATGACACCGAAGCACTGGGCCCACCACTACCATGTCAGGCTTGGACACTCAGAACTTGAGATAGAATTTATATGTCCACCTCAGCTCAGTTCTGAGGCCCAACGACTCACCTTGTCAACACATTCCAGCTCAAACGCCTGTTCTCCCAGTAGAACAGATTCAGTCCGCGTCTGTGCTCTGGACCAGCTCCCAACCCTTGTGTTCCAGGTGACCCTGAGCAACAGCAATGTGGAGGCACTCAGAGAGCTGGCGGCCAAGCCCGGCTGGGAGGTGACCAGCGCCTTGGAAAAGGTAGGGGCCTCGAGGTGGGCACACCTGCTGCTCCTCCCACAGCCTGGCACTTGGTGCCCCGTCTCCATGGAAACCGAAGGACCAGGCAGCATTTTCACTGCCTACTGCAGGCTGGCCTGTGTGGAGCCGCAGCACCTGCCCACCCTTCCCTGAGGCTGGACGTTGGTCCTCTCGCCCCTCCTCATCCCATCTCCACCTGCTCAAAGCCCACCTGGTCTCCAAGTGCAGGACAGGTCTTTCTGCATAAAGCCACCACCCTCTTAATGAACTCCCACTAGTGGCTCTTTCCGTAGCCTCCTCTTGGAGGAAATTCACCTGTTGGAGCACTTGCTCCGCACCGCCCTGTGACTCTTCCTCCAGAGTTCCCTGAGCTCATGTGTCAGCCCCACAGGGAGCTCAGCTTTTTCAGGTCTTCCCCTAACCAGATCATGAACTTCTTAGCTAAGAAGCTTTGCATGATTTCCGGTACCTCTGCCGGCAGCCTCTAGTGTTTCTCACTGCTGCAGATGTGAGCAGGCCTCTACCAGCGTGCTCCACGTTGTTAGGGACCCAGGGAAGCCGGTGTGCACAGGACCCCAACGGTGAGCCTCAAGGGCCACGTGATCCCCCTCCACCCCACCTCCACCCTTCTTCGCCAGCTCGACCTGATACTGGGGGTGGGCGGCTGGGATCTGGGTGCATGCAGGCACCGGTGCTCGGTCTTCCCGGCACCTGCTGGTCCTCGTGTCCCACGACAGCCTGGTTCTATGCCTCCTGTCCCCATGCAATTTCCACGGTGCCTCAGTGTCCTCACTTGGATGATACCTTGCAATGTCACCTCATGCTGAAGCCCATGTCCAGTCCAGTCGGGGCCCTCGCTGACCCTGCTGCACGCTGCCCTGCGTGGGTCGGTTCCCGCGTCTGCGGCCCGCCTGCTGCCGGAGGCTCAGCACAGCTCAGCACGCCCAAGCGCCGCTTTCTCTTGATCTCGCGTACAAGCTGCTCCCGGCCTTCCTCTCCCTGTTCCAGTCCTCGTCTTGTGTCCTCATGGGTTCTGAGCATCTGGCAGCCACACGATGGGGGGCCAAACTGCCTGGGAAGGAGCAGGGCTGCAGCGCGGTGCTGGGCCGCTTTGCGCCTCAGCCTCTAGGCCTCTGGAAGCTGTGGCCAGAAAGGAAGTCAGCAGGGTTTCTAGTGTCCCAGAAGAGCTTCATGATGAGGACTCCATTTCTATGTAAATCTTTAGTAGAGGATATGTATCCTTAAAGAAACTCTCTTGTGTTATCTCTGGGATTGGAATCCCTCCCTTTAAAAACTATATTTATGACAAAAATCTGATTTTAAAAGTCTGATAAACTATTTTCTCTGAGTTATCTTCTCTCCCAGGTTTTACAACTTTTATAGGGTTTCCTTAATTTTTTTTTGTTGTTGTTGTTTGTTTTTGTTTTTTTGAGCCAGAGTCAATACGTAGGCCTTCCCCAAACTCGATGCGTAACATAGGTTGGCCTGGACCTCACAGAGATCCTCCTGCCTCAGACTCCCAAGTGCTGGAATTACAGGCGTCTGTTACCACACCCAGCTTGCGTTTACTCCTAAAATGTAGACCTTGAATTTTCTTCTGTCACCTTTTAGTTGAATAATTTAGTTGAAACACGTTCCTACTGGATGACTGTGAGGTTTCCCAAGTGAAGATAAGGAAGCTGGCCTCAGGACCCACACAGGAGCTTTCACTGACTTCTGTCACAGGAAAAGAATTTTGGTGGATCAGTGAGAAAATTGAAAAGTATACTACCCTCGGAGAGCCTAGAATTCCGGCTTCGGAAGAGGCCCCGGTCCAGCGCCGAGTATGTTCATGGGGCACAGGGTGACCTCAATGGGGGGCACAGTGCGCATGTCCCGCTGTCTCTTGGCCACTGTCTGGGGCTGCGTCATGCAGACCACGCTCACAGTGGACGCTGGGGTCCGCCTTCCGCTTTGCAGCAAGCTTTCCCGAGGACAGGGCGAGAGCGTGCATAGGGCCCGGGCCTGGCCCCACCCGGCTTCTTCCTTCTTCCTCGGGAACATTTTTGAGTGAGTTTCTTGGAAGAGAGAAAGACCCAAATAACTTCTGTGTTCCGAAGCTACTTTTGTTCTTACGAGTACAATTTGGAAATGGTGATGTTTCGCGTCTCCTTCCGCGCAGCTGCGCTCGGGTGCTGCCGGGTCAGGCTCTGCCGCCGGCCAGCGGTGCGGTCCGTGGGCGCTTCTGTTTGAGAACAGTTCGCTTCGCCGATGGAAGCGCTTGGCAAAGCTTTCTTCCCTCTGCGAGCTGCGCACCGCAGACAAGCTGGGCCAAGGCGAAGCGTGCGAGCCAAGGCGCCGCCCGCTCATTGCCAGTCCGAGCCTGGCGTTTGTGATGAGATCGGACCGCGTTCACGGGTTTTGCTCGTGTTTGTTTCCTATCAAAAATGATGGAATCGATGCTAATCGTACAAGCCGCAGAAGCCCCCCGTGGATCGCCGCCACGCACAGAGCCCGCGGGAGCCCACCGCACAGCGCATCAGCTCGCGGGCAGCTCAGGCGCCGGAAGAGCGCTCCCCGCGGAGCTGCAGGAGCAGGGCTCCTGTGTCCCGGAAGGGGATGGTCGCCGGAGGCTGCTGGGCCCTCGGGAAGGATTTCCAGGCAGCAGGGTGACTCGGCTGAGGCTTCCCAGTGGCAAGTGTAAGCAATTCGAAGCCTGACAGGAGCAGTTTTTAACTGAAGGAGGAGCTGAGAATGGCTGGGAAAATCAGAGTATCACAAAGGACACGCGCACCTCCAGGAAACCTCTGGCTGGGGAGGACGCTGAGGCAGGAGGGGGCCAGAAGGGACTGCTCCCGCTCCCCCGAGGCCTCAGGGGCTGGTCCACCGCATCACCTGCCCAGCCCCCCCCCATGGTTTTCAGGGGCCCCCAAGGGAAATCCCGGTTTCCCTGGGATTCTATGAAAACTAGTTTGATCCCACTCCCCTGTCTAACACACATGCCCATAAATTATAACAAAAATTCTAAAACTTTGAGTTTAACTAAAAATCTCCAACCCAAAGCCAAATAGAATCTCATTAGAATGAAAAATAATCCCACTAAAATATACCGGCAAGCTAGTCCCAGCAATATTCGAGCCTACACACTTTGCGCTTCCCTTCATTGAATACTTTTCTAGTCAACCAAGTGATAAAGAAAACATTTGAGTTGGCTACAAATAGAATTTCACCTCCATTCTCCTGAGCACAAAAGGGAACTCACTCTCCTGGCCAGTTCTTGTCAGAGAATTCTTCACTAAGCAAAGGCTGTGATCCAAGAAGCCAAATCAAGCACTGTCCTCCCCGCCCAGGCAGTGGCCACGCACGCTTTCAGACCAAGCTCTCATTTGTTTGTCTGGCATCGTGGGACACGCCGAATGGGCTCTGCTGAGGCGAACGTGATCCCCTGGGTCAATGCTTTGGTTCTGGGACAGAAAGCACCTATGGCCTAGTGACAGCTCCTGAAGCACTCTGTTCACCACCAGGGCTGCTGTACAGAGGGCTACACTGAAGCCGGAGCACGCCTGCCCCCATGTTCTGAGAGCTGACAGTCTGAGCTCAAGGTGCTGGGGGTTACGTGCTCCTAAGGGGAGGAGAAGCAGGTCTGAGCTCTTGCCTGGCCCTGGGGGTGTGCTACTCACTCGTGGTGTTCTGTGGCTTGGAGTCATGACACCAGGCCTCTGCCTGGCATTGTCCCCTTGTGCTCATCTGTGTCCCATTTCCTGTTAGAGGGATGTCAGATACGTTGGGTGAGGGACCCTCCCTGCTGCAGCAGTGTGACCTCATCTTAGGTAATCCCACCACAGTGGCCCTGCTCCTGCATGAAGTCATATGCTGAGCTACAAGAGGTTAGAGCCTTGGCGCACGGATTTGGAGATGTGTGTGGGGGTGGGTGTGCGTGTGCGTGTGCGCGTGCAGCTTTCCACAAGCACTCTGCCCACCGCTTTGCCCGCTCCACCTTCCTTATACCAAGAATGTGAGTGACTGGGGCTGCAGGCCGCCAGGCCAGTGGCTGCTCTCTGGTGTCCCCTGCTCGGAGCGGGGTGAGACCAGCTGCAGAGGGTGAGTGTCACTGAGCCTCACCAGGCGGTAGCAGCCTGTGTTCTCCATGTTCCACAAGGGCTTGCAGGTGGGGCCAGGCCCCCCTCAGCAACGTAGAACTAAAGATGTGCTGGGGCGGGAGCAGGGAGATGTTCATAAGCGAACGCCCACTTGATTGATTCCCAAACTGCTCTAGTTAATTTCCCGTCTCTTGATTCTCTCGGTGGTTTTACACACACACACACACACACACACACACACACACACATGTGCACACAAGCACGCACATGCACGCACACACACATGCACGCACACACACATGCACGCACACACACATGCACACACGCACATGCACATGGGTGTTTAAATAAGGGTTTCTCCTTCACAGCCTGATTTTCCACCTGCTTGATTCCTGCAGCAGAGTCCTAGGTTCTCACCTGCTTGTCTGCTCTGGGCCTGTTGCCATGGGAATGATTATAGGATGGCAAATTCCAGCCCAGACTTCAGAGCGCCCAGGGAGATGGGGCGACAGGGCAGGAAGGAAGTGCGCTCCTATGCAGTGCACCCCACCACTGTAGTCCGAACACAGGAGAAGGCAGGCGGAGGTGCCAGGGCAGCCTTAGGGCTCTGTGAATGGCAAACGGCGCCCAGGACAGGCCTCTGCTTCCCTAGGGAATCAGACGCTGGTCTCCCAGAGTGGTGAGCGTGGGATCGCAGAAGGCTTTGTGCGGTGCATGGACCCCAGGGAAGGCTCGGCTCTAAAGGTGGCCGCCTTGGCCGCTGCCCCTCGGCCCCCGTGGGACACACCTGATGTCCTGGGAGCACATCCTGAGCCGCCCTGGCCCTGAGCCTCCTGAGGGAGATGACAGCGGGGCCCCTGTTGGTTGCTGCGTATAGGCAGGGAAATAGTGTGGAGGACAGAGCAGGAAGCCTGGTGTGCTTTCTTTTTCATGAGAGATCTGCCTGCACCACCATTAAAGGACCACCCTGCAGCGCACGCACGCTGTGTGCAGGATGTGGGGTGCCCACTCGGGCAGCCTCTGGACCCCCGGCTAAGTGAACTGTCATCCTTTGTTTTGTTTGTATTGGGTGATGAGATGCCTGAGCTCATATTCTCAGTCTAGCCAGGCAGGATGGAATCTTAGCACTTGGGGGCTGAGGCAGGAGGATCACTGTGAGCTGAAGCCCAGCCTGGGCTACATGGTGAAACCTTGTCAAAACACGCCTACCCCACACAGAAAAAGTCGGTCTATAATTACATGTATATGTATGTGGCTTTTAAAGTAAAATTGTCAGTTTTTCTCTTGTAATTTATTTTTTCTTGTTAATATTTTTAGATAAAGATATACACTCTGGAAGAGCAAAAAGACTTGTCGGTTTGGGTTGAAAAGAGTGTGAGGTGCCCGGCACACCTGGCTTATCGCCTCCTGTCTGACTTCACAAAGCGGCCGCTGTGGGACCCCCATTACATGTAAGCACAAGTCCAGCCCCTTTCCCTCCTCCATCTCACGATGCCGTGCAGGGCAGCCCGGCATGGCCACCTCTGTGGCCAAGCGTGTGAGGGCCTTCTTCATGAACTGAGAGGCTTCCAAAGCCATCTGCGCGTAGCACCCTGCACCAGGCGGTGTTGACAGCAGACAAAAAGCGCTGCGCTCACTTGCCCTCCGGGTCGACTTCACATCTTGCCCTCTTCTGCTCGTCCTGCCCACACGTGCAAGGTTGACAGGACCAATTTCTGCCATCTGTCACATGGGCCACCCAGAGGTAGGACTGGACTGGACTCCGGCTCTGCCAAGTTCTGAGGTCCATGCTTTTGCGCTCCACACCGCCCCAGCTCTGGAGGGAGCAGTACCATGTCTCCCCACTCGCAACCCTTGATGGAAACCCCTTTTTTACCTCAGAGCCTCACTCTGAGGGCAGCTGGTGGAGCAAATCCAGTCCTGACGAGACAGCGCGCCTTCTTCCCAGCAGCCTCTGCTCTCCCCCTGCTACTTCCTGTCCCCTCGCTCCTGCCCCAGGTTCCTCCAGCTCCATCCCTTCCTGGGACACCCTCTGCCCTCCACACCAGGAGGGGGGGCTCCATTCTGCAGATCCAGCCAACCTTGGACAAACATGGGGAATATCATGTTTGCACCAAACAAGCACAGACTTTGGTTCATTGACTCAATTCTGTAAATAAGGGAGTGGGACAACTCTCTAGGCAGCGGCATTCACACTGTATCAGTAACAGTGCAGCATGACTTTAAGGGGTGCAGGGGGACAGGCCGGGGTTATACGGAAATACAAGGGCACTTTATGTGAGGGACTTGAGTGGCTCCTAACTTCAGTATCTGTGGGGCCCTGTTTCTGAGCCCCAAGCACTGAGGGGTGACCGTCCCTTACCTGGGCAGGGACAGTGGCCTCTGGCTGGCCCTCTTCCCCTGAGAGCCCCACTGGCCTCCTGGCCCTCTTGATGGAAGGGCTGCCAAGATGGATCCCTCTTTCACATCACTATTTCCAAATGCAGACAAGGTAGAAGCTCATCTCTAAATTGCCTAAAATTCAGTGTGATTAACACTATGTAGCCGACAGACTGTGCCACGAAGGTGGAGCCCTGTGAGGTGCAGTGTTGTGCAGTGTAGACGCCCAAATAACACACCGCGGCCTACACCATCAGGATCAGACATTCTGAGGAAAGAGAAGGTTTTGTAGACGTCACATCCATATCATAGATTCTGCATAAGCACAAAGCGCTCAGGAAGAACAGTGCCTAAAGTTAGATGTTAATTGCTTGTAAATGTTTTACATTGCCCAGTGCAAATGTTTCTTCTGCAATCTTTATGGCCCTTGGCTTCCCATCCAAACTGAACTTCACTGGACAGAAGAAATTCGAACTCGGCTAACCCCTTAGTGTACTGAGTGCTGTGCTGGGTGTTTTCACCCGGCCTCAGCCCCCTCCCAGGCCCTTCTCCACTTTGCTCAGGTACAGTGGTGCAGTGCCTTGCCCAGGTGGGTTGAGGTCTGGAGGTCACAGCAGGCTGACTCCAGGGCCAGGGCTCTTCAGGCTGCACTTCTTTAGACCTTTGCTAGCTGGCTGTGTACTCCAGAAGGCTTCAGAGTATTTTACTGGCCCCTGGAAAAAAACAGTCTTGTGGAAAATGGCCTTTGAATGCCTTTCGCACTGTCCTGAGGGTGTGGTCCGGAGCAGGTGCCGCAGCCGCCTCTGCAGCAGAACTTGCTCTGGGGGAGCCGCCGGCCGCCGGCCTGTGACTCAGCTCTGGCAGCCCTCAGACTCCGCGGGCAGGTGGCTCAGCAAACCAGGAAGCGACGCCTTCTCTGTCAGGGAGAAGAGCCAGCCTGACCCGCCACCCCTCACGCAGGTCCTGTACAGTCATAGACCAGGTGAGCGAGGATGACCAGATCTATCACATCACCTGTCCTAAGGTGAACTGCGACAAGCCCAAGGACTTCGTTGTGCTCGTGTCACGAAGAAGGCCTCCTCGGGACGGGTGAGTGTGAGCGGCCCAGGGCTGCGGCAGCCTGGAGTAGAACGCAGGCGTGGGAAGGAGTCGGCGTCGACTCCTCTGGCTTCGAATGACTCGTCTGAAATTTCCCAGGCGGATCTCTAGCTATCACTGAACGCAACAATCAGCTGCCTAGAGCTGGGTGAGCAAGCGCCCTGCCAGGATTCTAAGGAGTTCCTCCTCCTCTTGTCTTCTTTGGGTGCAAACCCACATTTAGTACAGCTTTGAAACAGCCCGTTAACAGTACAAAAAAAAAAAAAAAAAAAACAAGAAACAATGAAAGACAAATGGACCCCAGGAGTTGGTTTCCAGTTCTTAAAGGCTTGAGGGTGCTGGGCACCTGGCCAGACTACCTGTCACCTGGGGCTGTGAGTCAGACGCCGCCTAGTGGCGATTCCCTTTGCATCCCACCACTCGGGGCATGCTGTCCACGGAAGAGTGACCACAATAACCCCACACGCAGATGTCAGGGGCACATCATCTCCTGTGCTGGAGGGCGTGAGACACAGCCCCAGCCAAACCCTGAGGGGTCTCCTGTAGCTTCTGGCCAAGCCACCCGCAGAGCAGCGTGCAGTCACTAAGCAGGAAGGAGCCGCTAGAGAAATACTGCTGCAAAGCCTCGAAAGACTCCCCGGGCACGGAAAAATGTGATTGCAGAGCATATCTGTAAGATGGTCGTATTTATGTAAAACTGCCTCCTGCATTCACTTATGTAGATGCTATTGTTATACATGCTATTGTTATACATTCATTCCGAAGTCCACAGAGCGCCCCCAGAGTGCAGAGGAGCCCCAGCATGCCAGGAGGTGGAGGGGACTGAACTTGTGGAGGACTTTCATTTTGTAGCCTTTGGAGTTCTCTATTGTTTGGTGGTTCTTTAAAACAATAGCTATTGTTTTTGTAATTTTAAGAAGAGAGGGAGGAGGCTGAAATTGCAGTTTGCAGGTCTGCTTAGCTTTGTGGAGTTGTGTGAGTGCATGCACCCTTCAGGTGGCCGGAGCTCCCTCAGCTGGCTCCTGCTGCAGCCCTGAGTGTGGCTGTGGAGACTTCATCCTCAAGAGCAGGGCCTCCAGAGCCTCTCTTCCACCCAGACAACAAATGCCTGGCTTCGTGGGATGAGGCGGGGCTTGGTGGCTAGCTCCTGTCTGGCTACAGCTGGCCCTGGGTGGGTCCCCAGCACTGCAAAGAAACGAAATTCTGCCCTGCACTGCCGCTAGGCGTGTGCTTCCTGACACCCGTTCTCCATGTCCCACGAGAGGCCGGGCCACGTGTTCTTGTCTTTCAGGGACACCTACCTGGTGGCGGTGAGGTCAGTGGTCCTGCCGGCCGTGCCGCCGGCCCCAGGGTACACCAGGAGTGAGGTGGTGTGCGCCGGCTTCCTCATCCACCCCACGGGTGGCAGCTCCTGCACCGTGAGTTTCATCAGCTTCTGCCGCTTGGTCTTCTCTGGCAGATTCAGGAGCTGCTCTCCATTACCCAGATTCCCAAAGTCCCATTCGGAATTCCTCATTCCCGATTTCCGAATTAATTGCAGTCCAGCATTTTGCACAGGAGCGCACAGGGGTGCCTAGGGTTAGGCTTCCAAGATCCACTCCAAAGCATCCCCAGGAATTTGGGCTAGAGTCTTCCCTGTATCAAAGAAATTCAGATCTTTGCTCAAAAAAGTTCCAATGCTGGTCAGAAGCTAAAATGCTGTTTTGTTTTTGAGCCAGGTGTCGTACCTCAACCAGACGTCGGCCAGCATCCTGCCTTACTTTGCCGGAAATCTTGGTGGCTGGTCAAAATCCATCGAAGAAGCAGCAGCCTCTTGCATCCGATTTGTAGAGAATGCTTCTGATGAGGCCGTATTTTAAATGGTCAAGTTCCAATTTCCTGTAGTTTAATTTCCACTTTAATTCCAAGTACAAGGGCCAGAGAGATGGCTCAGTAGAATAAGCGCTTGCCTGGCAAGCGCAAGGGTCTTGGACTCACAGAATGACTGGCTTCCAGCCTAAGAAAAGCACAGTTAAGAAGAGGTTGGAAAGCAGACTGCATCACAGTCCAATCTCAGCAATTTGGCTTAACGTCAGAAGAACTTTAAAACTATTTCAGGGGATCCAGCGCTCTGCCTCTTCCAGGCACGGAAATGGAGAATCACCTGGGCACAGCACTGTGCACTCTGTAAAGTGGCACAAATTTAGTTAAAATGACTGTAAACATACTTGGGTTACACAGGGGCCATGTGTGCTTGGGCTGAAATTTTCCAAAGTGCAAAGTGATGATTTTCTCTGAATTGATTAATGTGTGGCGTGGCTCCAGTTGGGCAGGTACTCGTGTGACAGAGCGTTCTGACAAGAGGTATTACATGTTTTAGGGCTTCAAATTAGGAAGGCATTAAAACGTAATAGAATCCAATCAATTTTATTAATGGGAACTACTTTACTAGTGTCACTCTATCTCCATTCGGGGTGGCTGCCCACTTACTGTGTAGTGCTGTGCGCACACACAAGTGCCTGCCGCACGCAGCGCTGCAGAGGAGCGCCCCAGCTGAGCTCTGCCCTGCAGACAGCACCAGCACATCACCCTCGACGTCAGCCCGGTGACTTCACGCTGCTATGTGTCTTCCAGGATAGGCCAAGGTAGCCCCCTGAAAGGACCACTTTGGCAAGTTGCAGGAGTTCTCCAATAGAGTGTAGAGCTTAGGAACACCCCGTTGGTGGTTTGCTAAATCTTTTTTCCCCTTCTTTGTTTGCTGTGTTAGGGATCAAACCCAGGGCCTGGCACCTGCTGGGCAAACGCTCCCCACAGAGCCGTGAGCTTGGCCCTAACTTGACAGATTCCACCTCTGTTCCCAAGTCTCCAAACCTACACGTTGGGTTATTTTCGTTGGTCTGTGTCAAAAGGTATTTGTGTGCATGAGCTTTGGGCTGTGCTGCAGTTGTATGAATTAATATTTATATACAATAAAAGTAGACACATAAATTATAATTATTCATTACATTCCAGATGTAAAAAAAGATTTTTGAGGATTTTTTAAAAGCACAAGACTTGTCAGGCTTTTGCTATAATTAGGACACATGCTGTCCGCCCAGCCTCGGCCCTTGGATTCAGAAGTTTTGAACTGTTTGTCAAGGCTAGAGCTGTTCTGAGGCTCGAGTTGGCAACTTCTGTGGAGTCTCAGTGAGGTGTGAGGCTGTGGCCCCCTTTGGCACAAGGACGTGTCCTAAGGCCCCAGTGGATGACGAGGCCATGGTAGCATGGAGCCCTCCTGGGCATGCGCGCGTGCGCACGCACACACACACACACACACACCCCTATGGCGAGGTGCAGTGATCAACTGGGTACAGTCCAGTATTCACAGCAACAATGAATGATACAGTACAGCGGCAGCCGTGTCCTGTAATACAAGCTTCTCAGTGTAGTCCGCGTCTCTCCCACTACCTGATTGAGCTGTCTTCTCCTTTTATCTTGTGACGCTGAGTATGATACAGTATTAATGGGATGAGGAGAAGGAGGTGAGTGACAGAGCCACACACGGTGCAGCATGAGGGCCGGTCAGCTTTGAAGGGATTCACGGGAGAGAAGCGTCTCCAACAGGCCTCCAAGGGCAAAGGCTGGCCTATGTCCCTGGCAGGAGGGGGCAGCACAGTGCGAGATCTCAGGATGTCACTCGGTTCAAAACTTAAGCATTGTTCCCTTGTGGAATTCCACACGTAGGATTTTCAGACAGCAGTTATTGGGTGCAGTGGACACCACAGAAAGCCAAGTCACAGCTAAGGGCAGTTGTGCGACACAGGTAGAGTCACTTTCTCTCTGCTGGAACACATAACACAATAGCCACAACTTGAAGAGGACAGGTTTGTTTGGGGTCGCAGTTTCTAGAGGTGCCAGCCCATGGTCCCCTGGCCCCAAGGCAGGGCAGCTTGGCAGGGGCCTGGCAGAGGGGGGAAGCTGGTCAGGCACAGGAAGCAGAGCGAAGGGAGGGAACCATGCCTTCCCAGGCCCGGACACCAGGGGCCTCCTCTCCCCACCAGACCCCACCTCAGCTCTAAGCCCCGCCTTTGAGCTCATGAGGCTTTGGGGGACATCCAGATGTAAACCATACTGAGCCCTTTCTGCTTTTCCCCAATACAATCACCATGAGCCACATGTGCCCTTAATTAGTATTCAACAAAATTTAAAAATCAGTTTCTAAGCCACGCTAGGCCCATTTCACATATCACCTCTCACATGTGATGAGGGACTGCCACAGCCACCCCGGGCGGTAGAGATGCAGAAAGTCGCTGTGGCATGGGGAGTCACCTGTTGCCACTGGCCCAGCCATTGTGGCCAGTACTGTGGTACAGGCAGATCTTCTGTTTTCCATTTTCACCTGTCCTTACATCAAACAATCTCATCTAACCTTCCTAGGTCGCTTCACTTTTATGCTTCTGCACGAAGTGGCAGCGCTTATCCACCTGGTCCTTGGGTCTTGAATGGCCTAAATTAAAATGCTCATTTTCAGGATTACTTGTCTTTATAGACTTTAAAAGGCTGTGGGAGGAAGAGATAGCAGTGGGTGATTTTCTATGTAGGGCATTTCAAAAATAGAAATCTATTGTCAGAAACAATAATGCAATTAACTACCACTGAGTCGTGAGACTCCACAGAGCTCAGGGTGCAAGCGAAGTAGTGTATTAGTCATGTGGTGAATAAAGTAAGTAAATAGCAGAGATTGTTAGATGCACTGCATAAAAGTGAAGCAGGTAAAGGAGATGAACGAGTGGGCTGCAGGCGGCTTCACTGAGGAGCCACTGAGCCAGGCCTCGGCCAGGAAAGCCCCGGGGGCAGTGCCTTGGGGGATTTCTAGGAAGAGCAGGGAACAGATGCCACTGATAGGGGGAAAGTTAGACACCACGTCCCCTGTGTCCCTGGAGCCCAGGCCTTAGGCAAATGCGACACCCGAGGATGAGCAGGTCACCTGGTCCATCGGCTGTCAGCCCCCAGTAGCCAGGACAGGGAAAGCAGAAGCCGGAGCTGTCCTGCAAAGTGTCAAGGCCGCCTTAAGGGATGCTCAAGACGTCCCACGTGACTATGGCAGAGGCTCCAAGCACTTATAGCAGGACTGGAAGCTGCTGGTCTAAGAAAGGGCCTCATTGCTACTAATTCTTCCTGATTTTAATGCACCTGAGATGCTATCTGTATCGACAGAGTTTGTCACCCTTTTATTAAAAAAATCTAGAAAAGAAATGTAAAACTTGGTCAGAAAATTATGTTCAAACATGTTTAAGAAGTGATGAGCATTTTGATAAAAATTGCAATAATCCAGATTATGACTACATGTGCCATTACATGGTTTTGCTCATATTTCGCATGGCATGTTTTAAAAATTGGAAATTGTTACTGGGCAGGTACAGGTTACAGTTTTGGGAGACATATGTAAAGAAATAAGTTTTGTGGTTGGGATAAATTATCAGAGTGTCTCAGTTACTCTTGTCTCATTGCTGGGACAAGTACCTGACACCCAAAATGAAGGACGAAAGGGTTATTTAGCTCCCAGTTAATGGAGGTTTCAGTCCATGCTCAGCTGGCTCCACGGCACAGTGCCACATGGCAGAGGGCAGCCGTTCATGGTGGCGGCAAAGAGCAGAGAGCAACAATGGCTGCAGAGAGCAGGTCTGTCTCCTTTAGGTTGCATTCAGGCTATCAGGCCCAGGCTGGTGTAGCACGCACACCCATGATCCCAGCAGCGTTCACAGCCATAATCCCAGCAGCACCCACACCATAATCCCAGCAGCACTCACACCATAATCTCAGCAACACTCACACCCATAATCCCAGTGAAACATGGGATTATGAACATGAATTAATCACAAAGTCTAGAAGTCTGCCCCATGGCTGCGTGAGGCTTTAGGGGGCCAACCAGACACAAAGCATAACAGAGTGAAAGCTACAGGGTCTGGTCTGTTCCTGATTTACTTCTCACTTCAGTGTTGGACCGGAAGCCTGCCACAGCCCAGCGCTCTCGCGTTCTCGCTGAGGCCACCAGCTTGCAAGGCTAACCTGATGCTGGGCAACAGGCCGGGCTGGCCACAGTTCGGAGTTGCTGTGACCGCTACCTCTGGCTGGGACACTTGGGGGACGGCTTTTTGCTGCCGGCTACTTCTCAAAAGTTCCTAAAGCCTGGGTCCCTTAGCTGTGAGAGGCTCCTCTACCTACAGCGTACACACGCAGCTGCCTTGTCACTCCCGCGGGCCTGGGGAGGAAAAGAAAGAGGCATGAATCCGTTTATGCGGTGTCACTAGTGCCGTGAGCAGCGCTGTCCTTTGTCTCTGAGCCAAGGATCTCGTGTCTTCTGCCGACAGCCACTGAACAGTCCCTGGGTGGCTTACGGGGACTCGCAGACCCTTCACACTGACCCAGCTCCACGTGAGAAAGTCAGACACGTAAGGCTCGTGCGCTTGTCCACGCATACCTGGAAGGAAGCAGAGTGCCGTACAATGCTGGCTTCGCTTCCCATTTGTGCCTTTTTAGGAACCTTTGAAAGTAGATTAGAGGTGACTCTGTCATCTAACAGCTCCTCCCGCCCCGTGCACCCCTCTTCCCTTGCTCGGCCTAGATTCCCCCGCCTCTCGTTGTGGCCACTTCCTGGAAATACCTGTGGCCATTTTCTTCACGCAGTTTCTCTAACAAAGCCCCAGCCAAGGCTGAGTCAACCCTGTGAGAAGCAGCTGGGGATTACGGGATGGTCTTGTTTCAAATTTCTGAGCACAGATTCCAGAACGCAGGGCGAGCCGACCCTACTGCGCTTCCCTGTGGGCACCGTCCTCACCGCCTCCCGTGCCCGGGCCGTCTCGCGTCTGTCCCACTCGCACCACAAGCTTTAGAGAGCAGCTCACTGGGGAGATCCAAGTCCTTAGGCAAGCGTGTCCTCGAGTCCTCACACGTGCATCTTCCACATTCCCGCTTTCCCCTCATGTTAAAATGGATGAAATATCTCTACCTTGGCAAAGAACAGGTTCTCTGGCCTTACGGCTCCTCCCTTCAGTTTTCTCCTCTCAGTTATGGGCCTCAGGGTTTCCTTTCCCTCTCCTTCCTTCCTTCCTTGGTTCCTTCATTTGCTCATTCCTACCTTCTTTTCTTCCCATTCTTTCCTTCCTTCCTTCCTTTTTCTTCTTTTTTTCCCTCGCTCCTTTCTTTTTCAGTACTGCAGGTTGAACCCAGGCATTCTCACTGAGCTACATCCCAGCTTTTCATTTTTGTTTTGGAAACAGGGTGTGGCTAAATTGTCTGGGTTGGGCCTGAACTTGTGACTCTCTGCCTCAGGCTCCCAGAGTGCTGAGATTACAGGTGTGCACCTCGAGGTCCAACTGGTACTAATGTTTCTTATGGTAAAGCACACCAATGCAGTCCTTCCTCTGATCCCATGTCCTAAGCTTCACCCCTCCCCGGCCCAGCTATCTGGGGGTGTGGGACCCACATCCCTATTCATTCACCTCAGCCGACCTGCGTCTGTCCCCACCATGCCACGGGGTCCCTCATCAGGCTCGTCTGTGTCCTCTCTAGTGCTGGATCTACTGGCTCTGCTGCTCACTTATTCTCTGAAAGCCTCCACTAAAGCTGGTTAGATCCTTCTTTGTACCACACTGTCTCTTCCTGGTTCCCGTGATGTCACGCACCCAGGTGTCCTCCCGCTCACTAACTACGTGCCTCCTCTTACCGTTCTCCCCTGCCATCAGACCTCCAATATATGGCTGCCCACGGTGCCGACCCGGCCTCTTCTCGCTCTCCATTCCTGGATCAGTTTCCCGAGCTAGAAGCCATTCCATTCCATTACCAACGATTCCCGAATCTATGTCTCCAGTCCGAACCCTTACTGAACCTCGTGCTACCTGCTTGATACTTTCATTAAGATAATAGTCATCTCAAACTCCATTTCTGAAGCAGACCGATTGAATTCTGACACCTTCCCTTCCACACATTTCCTTTCCTTCAGCAAATCCTGTGAGTTGTGTGTTA